GGAAAGGATACTCGCCGGACCCTCTGAGCGCTGTTGACTTCAGGGTCTGAGCTCATCGTGGTGCCAGGCGGCCCTCAAGCAATAGTGGCTAGGCATGGGGAGGTCAGTGCCCAGCCTCTCATCTTCTGAGGGACAAGGCGTCCTCTGCGTGGTTCTTCAGGGGGTTCCCAGCAGCCCTGAGAGCCTGCTGCCCAGGCAGCAACCACCTTCATACGTTCACCTCGTTGGCTTTCCCTCGGCTCTCCCTTCTTGCTCTGTGCTCTCAATTTCTGCTGTTACCTCCCGAGGAAAACTGCCGGCATCGCCATCCCTGTCTCTGGCTTTTCTGGGTTTTGTGGAGGTGCGGTGGAGGGGGGACCCAGACTGTAACAGGTAGGAAGCAAAATGTGATGGCTAGGACTCTAACTGGCTGGTTACCAGCCCCCGCTTCTTTCCAGCCTTCTGCTGAGCGCTCGGGCCTCTGGAGCCGGGTCACTCTGCTCCCAGGGGGGTTCCTGTGGCGCAGGGTCCTGCCAATGCTTGTGGTGTCTGGGTCTTTCAGTTTCCTGTGCTGCTGGGTAGAAAATGTCTCATTGTGGTTTTACTTTCCCTGACCGTTAGTGAGACTGGCCCTCTTTTCAGACATGTATGTCCCGTTTTGTTTCCTCTTGTGAATTCCTGCTTGAGTTTTTGTTCAGTTTGCTGTTTTTTGTTTGTTTTTATGGCTGTGCAGGAGTTCTTGATTCTGGTTCTAGTCCTTATTGGTTGTATGTATTATAATTATCCTCTGGTTTGATTGTCTTTTTATGTCCTTTGGTGTCTTTTGATGAACAAAAGTTCTTCACTGTAACACGGAATTTATCATTTTATGGCTTGCACTTTTTGTATTTTGTTTCAGAAATCAGTTTCTGCCCAGAAGTCAGATACTCTTTATTGTGTTGTAAATATTTTATAGTTTTGCCTATTACGGATAGCTTTTTAATCTTCCTGGGGTAGACTTTCCTCCCCTCTGGCTGCTTTTAATATTTTTCTTCGGCTTTCTTCTTAGTGGTTTTACTTTGACATATTCAGGTGGGGTTTTCTTTGTCTGTATTCTGCTTGGACTTGAGCATCTTGAATCTGCGAGTTGATGTCTTTCATTATGTTTGGGAAAACTTAACAGAAGACAGCTGGATTCTCGTATCTGCTTCTGCATTCAGTCTTTGCAATAAGACACAGCATGTAGCCTGTGGAAAATGATAGTGACAAAGTAATGTCAGTATTATGAAAACAGGTCAGACTCTTTGAAAACGTCGTGGGGACCCCCTGCAGTCCCCAGGCCATTCTTTGAGAACCACTTGTCTAAGATTTTGGTATTAGGGTTTATACTAGCCTACTAAAATAAGCTGGGGCGTATTCCCGCTTTTATCTGAGCTCTGGAATAATCTGTGTAAAATTGGATTTGCTGTTTCTTCAATGTGTAGTAGAGCTGGGGAAATCTTTTGGGCCTGGAATTTTCCTTATAGGAAGATTTTTTACACTTTCTTTTTTTTAAAAGATTTTATTTTTTCCTTTTTCTCCCCAAAGCCCCCCAGTACATAGTTGTATATTTTAGTTGTGGGTCCTTCTAGTTGTGGCATGTGGGATGCTGCCTCAGCATGGTTTGATGAGCAGTGCCACGTCCGCACCCAGGATTCGAGCCAACGAAACACTGGGCCGCCTGCAGCGGAGTGCGTGAACTCAACCACTCGGCCACGGGGCCAGCCCCGATTTTTACACTTTTGATTCAGTTTCTTTAATGTTATAGAACTCTTCACGTTGGCTATTTCTTCTTGAGACTGTTTTGAGAAGTTGCATTTTTAAAGAATTTTTCCATTTCAGCTGAGTTTTCAAATGGGTTGACATAAGTTCATTGATATCATCTTATCTTTTAAATATATGCAGCATTTACAGTTATGTTCCCCTTTTCATTCTGCATATTTGTGCTCTTTTTCTCTTTATCTTGGTTAATATTACCAGAATTATATCAAATGTCAATTTTGTCTTTTTTAAAAAACCAACTTTTAGCTTTGTTGATCCTGTTTATTTATTTATTTTGTGGTGAGGAAGATTGGCCCTGAGCTAACATCTGTTGCCAATCTTCCTCTTTTTGCTTGAGGAAGATTGTCGCTGAGCTAACATCTGTGCCAGTCTTCCTCTGTGTTGTATGTGGGATGCCACCACAGCATGGCGTCATGAGCAGTGTGTAGGTCTGTGCCCAGGATCCCAACCGGCAACCCTGGGCCACTGAAGTGGAGTGTGTGAACTTAACCACTACACCACTGGGCCAGCACCTTTATTTTTTTTAATTAATTAATTTCTGTGTTTTTATTACTTATTTTCTTCGATTATCTTTGGATTTATTTTGTTGTGATAATACCTTTTTTATAGATAATCTGTAACTCATGAAAATTTGTAAAAACTCATGTGTGGATACTATTTTTATTCCATTAATCCCGGTTTTGAAATATGCAAAGTAGGTATTTTTCAAACTGGGTGACCCATTATTGGGTGGTATATTTGCTCTAGTAGATTATGGCCAGCATTTTTTTAAAAAGCAATAGACTAATAGAACAGAAAGCTGTAGTGTTCATCGTGTGTCCTGTGGCGATGTGCTGAGGTTAAACATTGTTTTGCGAACCTGTTATTTCAGATACATGCATGCACACACACACACCTGTGTCTGTACTGGATCGCAATGTAAAGTGTATTTCTTATTGTAGGTTTTAGGTTAAAAAAACCTTTGAAAGCTACTGTGTTAAAAGTAGTTTGTCTGATTTTAGTAAAGATTTCAAACCTGATTTCACAAAATAAACACCCGAGGAGCTGGCTAAAATGACGGATCCTTTTCTAGACCTGCTGGGGCCAGGGCTCTGTTGTAACAAACTCCTCGTGCAGTTCTCAGCCTTTGGGCATTTGGGAACCGCCGATTCAGGATATAAATCGACCTTGAGAGCCTGTTGGAAGTTCTAACTTGGGGCACTGGTGGGTGCAGCTCCTCGTGTGCATTTCTCCCGAACCCTCCTATCTTCGAGCTGCAGGAGGGACACACAGAGTGGCAAGAAAGCCTTCCGGGGGCCTGGATGTGGTAGGGGGTGGGGGACAGGCTGGGGACATGCTATTGGTTGTTAGAATGACAGAAAAAATGAAATAGCTGTCATGCCTGCATTTCTGTCATAGAATTGTTAGCATATGTTGAATGGCTGATGTATATACCCCAAAGATGACAATCTTTAAGCTTAAAATGTATGAACATTCGTACATTAGTCCCTGACAAGCCGTCTCTTCTGTTCCAGCTCACGGTCTCAGAGATGCAAGTCGAAATCATTCATGACTGTTCAGCGCATTTCACCCAAAAGCTGATAGCGACAGCACCTTCAAGTCTGGGCGGTTCCCCCCAGCTAGGCAGCAAACAGTTTTACCCTGTGGGCAGTGACCAGGGGGAGCTCCGTTTAGCTAAAGTGACAATGGTTGATAAACCTTAGATGGTCTATGAGCTTTTCAGTTATTTCCCTTTATATTAGTAGCTTCTCTGAAAGATCAGTGAGTAGAATGGGACCGTTTTGTAGATTGGGACTGTCACACGTGGAAGCCAAGGTAGCTTGTGGCAGGAACATGGTAAGTCTGTGACACGTGATGCAAGGACAGCAAGGCTCTGCTCCCCCCACACCCCACAGTGTCTAGGCCCCAGTTGGGGTGGGTTTGTTTGGTAAGGATCTTAAGTTGTGATCTACAGGAGAACCTTGCATTTTCAGTTGAGGACTAAGAATTTCCTTTGTATCAGTCAGTGATGCCCATTGGCTGTTTCATTACCTGTTGCTGTGTAACAGACCAACCCCAGACTTAGTGGCTGAAAACAGCAGCAGCAGTCGTGTGTGAGCTCACGATTCTGCAGTCTGCAGAGCTGTGTGGGGATGTGCATGGCTGCTCCACACCGTTTCCACTGGGCTCTCCCTGAGGTTCCTTCCCCTGGGAGCTCGGCGCCCTGAAGGCATGCCGGCTGGCTTCCAAGAGGATGAAAGCAGCAGCTACAGGGTCTCTTATGACCTGGGCTCAGAAGCCCCAAAAGCCTTCTGCCACATTCTTCTGGCCAAAGCAAGTCAAAGGCTAGCCCAGATTCAGGGGGAAGGGAAACAGATTCCATCTTTGATTGGAAAAGTGGTGTGCACGTTCACCGAGGAGAAGCAGCGTTGGAAGGTGACCCGCTGCACTGCCCTTCTTTCTCTCCCACCCTCCCTCCTTATTCCTCTCTTCCCTCCTTCCATCTAAATGAGTCACCTGTCCCCTTCACTGTAAAACATCAAGGTGTATTGAAAGATCCAAGTTTCCTCTGTTCTTCTCTAATACCCCTTGGCACTTTATCGATACTTTCTCAGTGGCGTTTTCACATTTGGCATTTTCTTGTGTTTGTCGCGGCTCACTCGTTAGACTAGAAGTTCCTCTCAGGCGGGGTCTGGCTGCGTCGCGGTGCGTGGTGGGTGCTCAGCAGAGGGCTGAATGAAGAGATGGGTGCAAACAGATTGTAGCATAACAAGTGTTCGAGAAGAACTTGGCTGAGAAGAACCAAGTTTGTCCAGATGAACCCTCAATTAATGTTAGGCAAGTGTTTGCAAACGAAACGAAGCCGCTCTCTTTGGCTGTTTCACTTTGGATTTTTTCCCTTGGTCAGCACCGGTCTTCCTAAGCCCCACGTGTTTACCAGCTTATGCTTTCAGTGAATGTGACTTTATAGTGTAAAGTTATATTTTTATATTATGTATCAGTATTTACATTAAATAGTGTTTGTAGTATTAAATATAGCATATATTCATACGTACCAATATGCATGTTTGTATATGTTTATAGGGGATTTTTGCCTAAGAAACCCTTTTCAAAAATCCCTTTCCATTATTACATCGGACCACTTAAGGGAAAGAAGGAGGCGCATTAGAAGCTGAGCAGTCCTTTCAAGTGTCCTCTGCCACCCTAAACAGCTCGCTTTTCTCGTTTCACCCCGTACCCAGGAGTGCGAGGAGGGGGCTGTCTGGGTCATTATGTGCGCGGCGGTCAAGTACAACCTCCGGGGTCCGGCCCTCATCCCGAGAATGAAGACCAGGCACCGAATCTACTACATTACCCTCTTCTCCATCGTCCTCCTGGGCCTCATTGCCACCGGCGTGTTCCAGTTCTGGCCCCATTCCATCGAGTCCTCCAACGACTGGAGCGTGGAGAAGCGCAGCATCCGCGACGTGCCCGTGGTCCGGCTGCCAGCCGACAGCCCCATCCCCGAGCGGGGCGATCTCAGTTGCAGGATGCACACGTGTTTTCATGTCTACCGCTGCGGCTTCAACCCGAAGAATAAGATCAAGGTGTATATTTACTCTCTGAAAAAGTACGTGGATGACTCTGGCGTCCCAGTCAGCAACACCATCTCCCGGGAGTATAACGAGCTGCTCACGGCCATCTCAGACAGTGACTACTATACCGACGACATCAACCGCGCCTGCCTGTTTGTCCCGTCCATCGATGTGCTTAACCAGAACGCGCTCCGCATTAAGGAGACAGCACAAGCGCTGGCCCAGCTCTCGAGGTATCTAGCACTCCTGCAGACCGGAGCCGAGTCCTTCAGGGAACTGCGGGCAGGGAGAAGGGGGCGGTCTGCTGTCGAGTGGCTTCCAGCTGTGGGCTCCTGTCTCGTGGGAGGGGACGTGAATGAGCTACTTGCTGGAGCAGGAGGCCAGCGCCGTGAGCATCTGGCCTCTGAACCAGTGAAAAGCGGTCTGCCATCGGTGCTACCGCCCTGGGCTCCTAGCTTCTTAGGATTTACAAACTAAGGATAGCTCGTCTTCCCATACTTTTCCTTTTAAATTTAAATACTATATTCCCTTCTTTGTTAGTTACGTAATCCGTGTTCGCTGTAAAAAGTCTGAAAATACAGGTAAGCACAAAAGACAATGTAAGATTCATTCCATAATCCGGCCTCTAAGAATCATTATTAATATTTTAGTATTACTTTTCAGTCATCTTTTGTGTGAAAAAATCTATGTATGCATCTATATACACATTGCATAAAATATGCATAAATTTTGCATAGAATGTATACATATGCATATATACATATTTTATATAGTAATATATGCATATACGTGTGTATATATACATTTTTGTGAAGAATGGCATCACACAGTAAATACTCTTTTGCTGCCTTTTTTCCTTATACTGTGAATATATTTCCAAATAATTTTATATTTTTACTATGTAATTTTTAGGGTTGTAAATGTATTCCATTTTACTCATGTTCCATAGTGTATTTAACTCAGCTTCTGTATTTTATTTATTTTTTGTTTCTTTGACGAAATGGTGAACATTCAGATAGTTTTCGTTGTCATGAGCAGTTCTGTAGTGGGCAGACTCGAAGTAGACGCCCACCCATTTTTCCTTTCGAGGGGCCGGGCTGGTGCCTGTTGTCCTGCTGGGGTTTCTAGGAATTCTCTTTGCACGCCCGAGAAGTGGCCGTGTTTTGGGTTGGGGATCCTTGCTGCTCGTCATCCGGTGACTGACTCTTGGTTTTGTGTCTTCATAGTTGACGTGTGACTTCTACGTGTTTAATTTCTTAATAGGTGGGATCGAGGTACAAACCACCTGTTGTTCAACATGTTGCCTGGCGGTCCCCCCGATTACAACACGGCCCTGGACGTCCCCAGAGACAGGTAGGCGCGCTTGGGGGCGTCCCTGTGATGGGCTTCTGAGGATTCAGTAAACGCGAGACCCTCTTGTCTGTGGAAAATCATACTCCTAAGCCTGCTGGGACACAGTTTGTTATCGAAATTGTTCATTAAAATAAAGCATTGTCCTCCTCAAGACTTGGAAGTGCGAGACCTGCTTAAGCCTGTCGTGGGGAACCAGGTAGAGCTTATGTTCTCGCCCAGCTGCTTAGACCCATCTTTTTTCTTAGCCTGGGTTGTGCTGCCCTACGTGCGCCACCTCACCCCCTGCAGCCGGGTCCTTGAGGCTCGGGTCAGCTCTCTGAGTTTGGGAGCGTTTGCCAACAGGAGAGCCGCAGCTCACTGAGGGATGAGGGCGTGCATGTGGGAAGGGACACCCAAAGCCGCAGTGTCAGGACACGGGCACTCGGAGTATCCTCCGCTCTGTTGTTTCAGTCAGCGGAGTTCTTCCTTCCTTCCTGTGTTTCTTTCTCTCCTCCCGCATCCCACCCCTCGCCCACTTCTTTCCTTCCTTCCTAATAAAACCTTCCTACAGGCAGATGTGCCTGGGGTGGTTGTGGTTGTGGGCTCGCTCTCTGTGCCTGTCGGCCCTTTGTGCGTGGACTGGAAAGCTCGGGAATGAGGTGCTGCTTGAGGCTCCTCCCCAGCACTTGGTTCAGTTGAGAACAGAGAGCATGGGCCCAAGGTGAGAGTCCTGGGCAATGCTCAAGGCCAAGGGTTGTCGTGAGTTTATACATGAACTTGTTTACAACCAGATGTATTACAGTCGGTGTTTACCTCTCAAAATCCTTGTCACTGAAGAAGGTCAGCGAATGGCTGGAGGCCAGCTGTGTTCCCAGCTCGTTAGAGGTTAACATTGTCATTTATGAAAATCTACGCTTGGATGGCTTTTCCCCAGGAGATTAAATCTAAGCCCTCTTTGCTTTAAGTGATTCTTGAGAGTCCCGGTTGAGTTTCTATCTGGAAATATAATCATTGCTAGAAGAGACAGACACCGAGGACCAGCCTTCAGCTTCGGTGTAGGAACCGTCTCGGACGATAGAGGGCAGTCGGGCTGCAGAAGTTCTGCAGAAACCTTCCGGACACAGGGGGCCCTGATTGGCTCTCAGCCCCGGGTTCCTGCCGGGCCCTGCTTTGTGGATTTGGTTGTCCCGGGAGAGTGGAATGCTTCAGAGACCAGAGAAGGGAAGGAGCTGTAAGGAAGGCAATGTCTTCACCTGCTGCTCTGGGTTTATTTGGAGAAGGGCTTATTTCTGTTTGGGCCATTTCACTTTTTGCTGACATTTTGGTATATGTATGTGCATGGGAGAAGGGTTTTATTTTTATCAAGTGCACATGTTAAATGCGGTTTCATTTCTCTGCAGGAAAGTGTCAAGCAGGCGGGAGAAAGTTTAAGTTCTTGCCGAGGCTTAGGTGTTAAGGCCCAGGAGGTTAAATCGTTTTCCCCGTGCGTGGATTTTTGTAAGTGATTATAGGCAATCCCCTAGCACGTCCTGAATCACTGTGGAGTCCTCCTTTATCTCTGCAGTGGGAAATTTCATTTTGGAACCTAGGTGGTCTTCTGGTTGGGGCGAGGAATAGTGGCTTTGTTTGTTAATTTTTCTTATCCTTTGTGCTTGCTCCTGAATTCAGAGGAGGCAAGAACCGTGAGCTCCATATCAGATGATTCGGAAATTAGAAAACAGACTAGATTAGGTTGCTGCTAAGATCTCCTGACATCTAAAGTCGTGGGTGTGATTACTTTAGAATTATTTTACTCTGGGAAATGCAAGGACCAGGACTGAAGGAGGTGTCTGCTCAGCGAATCCATGTTTTATGCTGCTCACACCTGGTTTTATTTCTCTTCAATTTTTAAAGTCATACACATGATACACAGATACCTTCTTTGTGTAAGGTTGGGACAATATGCAAGAGTATAAGGAGTAAAATGTAGAAATATGCTTTCAAACCCTCCTCTCTTTTCACTCCCTTCCTGAGAGCTAATCATTCTATCAAATACCATCAAGTACTATGTGTTTTTCTAGTCTTCTTTCCTATGGATTTATACACAAACGCATATATGTATACACATAACCATTTTATCTTAAGTGGGAGCAAATTGTATCTCATCACTGCCTCACTTTATTGATCGTTGTTTTCTCAGGTATGTTCTGTAATATTATTACTTGGATTTGTATTTTTTATTGTTTTATTGTTATTTTTTGCTTGAGGAAGATTAGCCCTGAGCTAACATTCGTGCTAATCGTCCTCTACTTTTCTGTATGTGGGACACCTCCACAGCATGGCTGGTGAGTGGAGTAGGTCTGCATCTGGGATCTGAACCCGTGATCCCTGGGCCACCACAGTGGAGCGCATCAACTTAACTACTTGGCCATGGGGCCAGCCCCATTTGCTTGGACTTTTATTACCCTTTCTTTGCACGTATCTCTCACAAATTTCTACTTTTGTGTGGGTGTATATTTATTTATTTACACTTGTTATGGAAAATTTCAAACCTTTATGAAGAACAAAGACTAGTACAGGGAACCACACGTACCCCCGTCCAGCTTCAGTTATCGGCCCTCAGGGCCAGTCTCCATTTTTCTGGACTCCTTACCCACCGCCGGGTATCTGGAAGCAAATCCCAGACGTTAATGTCATTACATCTGTAAATATTTCCATTTAAATCTTTGCATGATAACGGCTTTTTACAAAACATAACTACAGTTACTATTATCACAGCTAAAAAATTAACAATAATTCTTTAATATCACCAAATATTCACCAACTATCTGGCCATTGTTCAAACTTACCTGTCTCATAAATATCTTTTTATAGTTTGTTTGATGCAGTAAACAAATAGGGATGCCCAATAGAATTGGTCAGCTTTTTTTTTTCTTTGCAAACGCTGAGGCTTTGTATTTGAGGCATTTGCTGGCCTGATTACATGCCTGGTTTAAGTGTGTTCAGGCGCTGTGAATACTCAGGAGATCTACCCAGAGTAGGGCTAGTGGAGTACACAAGGTGTGGGGAGGGCTTGGGGACAGAGAGACGTGCTGGGGACACGTGGAGTGATACCACCACTTGGCCTGGTGCGAGTCTGATGGCCACATTAATTCTTTCTCAGCTGCAGGGTTTCCACTCAGCCCGTCGCAGCTTTGGAACTGGTCTCTGATTTGGGGATACGTAATGGGAAAACAGAATGTGCTTCTCAAAAGCTCACTTTTGAGTCAATGTAAAACACGTGTTCTGCAAAGTGAGGGACCCTTGCAGTGTTTCCTCTGTTAGAATGTTGTGGAAACCTTGGCAGCAGGAGATCCAGTGCCTTAGAGTTGAAGGCCTGTCAGTCGCAGGGCTGGGTGGACTCGTGTGACTAACTGCAGGTGTGGCTCTTTCCGGGATCACGCATGGAGAGCACGTGTGTGATCGATCTGTGGCATAAGGTGTGCCTCAGATTGCGGGCCTTCCTGCTCCCGGGGCGTAACCCCACCCTTCCCCTGAACAGAATAACCGTGCAGGGCTCCGGGGACAGAGCAGCAGTGAAGGCTGGTCAGAGTCTGCCCACGACCGCCCACCCCTCTCCTCTGGGCCGTGGGTGTAATTGCCTAGTCATCCCCGCCCGGCTCACCTGGGTGCCTGGTGCCTGTGTGTTGGATCCATGTTGCTGCTCTGCACAGAGGTCGAGGGGGCCCCTGCGGTCTGCTTGCCATCAGCGTCATGGAGCCTGCCCAGGTTTGTGTCGGATGGATTCACTGCTGAATGCTAATCAGGAAAATCAGACCGCATGTTGGTACTGAGGATGGTTATTAAGTTTACAGAGTAGACTGGCAGCTGGAGAGGTTTTAGCCTGCATATTACCTCACCAGCCAATTCTTGGTTCCATAAAGCTTAAACAAACAGAGTGGGATTTCCAGGGTTGGTTTGAAAGTCTTTGAACTTAAACTGGTCATGTTAGAAGGGAGTGTAGGCTGTCATCAGGCCAGGGAGGGGATTGGTAGCCATCCATATTGCAAAAAGTGTGTTTCTCAGCTCAGACGTTTTTGGCTCAGACTGTGCAGTGGGTGGAACTGGCAGGACTCTGCCCCGTAAGTGATTCCGATGGGTGTGGGGCCCCAGGGATGGAGTGGCAGGAACAGTGGGCGTGATGGACTCCCGCTTCCTCTCTCTGATGAAGCGTCGTCCTGCTCGCTGGGTCCGGTTGCCACAGTGTGTTCACGGCTTTCTAATTAAGGAGAAGAAAAGCTAGTGCAGGGGGACTACAAGGAAAGCACCAGCGGGCCCGTTCTGGATTCTGCTTCCTGTCGAGGGACTTGGGCTGGTGAAACTGAGTGGCTGGTGGAGGCCGCGTGATTCGCGCGTGGCTCTGGACGACAGTGGGAAGAATTGCTCGGGGCAGGAGCTGGAGAGAGGCTGGGACGCGCACAGCCTGAGACCTGATGCTTTGCTGTCACCGCTGCTTTCTGTGCCCGTTGTCTCCCGAGGTTCTGGTCGGTGGGTCAGGAGGTGAGCGCCCAGCCCGTCCTCCCCGCGCAGACCTGTTGTTAGGCCGGTTATCATAAATGTGTTTAAGAGTCGGGCTTGACCTTTGGGAGAGGTGAATGGGGTCTGAATAAGGTGGGAGAGGGGCTGTTCATAGGGTGTCCTCTGGGCTGTGATGTTTAAAAACGTGAAAAGTGAGGAAAGACTCCTCAGGGCCCCGGAGGAAGGCAGGTGGCTCGGGGATGGAATGCGGCTGAAGCCAGGGCATGTGAATGGGAAACAGTTAGCGAGGTGTCTTTCCAGGAAAGGGCCTCAGTAAACATTAGCTCTTGTGGACACTAAGACTCAGGTATTCCTGGCCCCTTCCACGGAGCTGATGAGAACGAAGACCTTCTTTCTTTCTCTTGTTTGACAAGATCCTTTGCTTTCAGGGCTTTGCTCGCTGGTGGTGGCTTTTCTACGTGGACCTACCGACAAGGCTACGATGTCAGCATCCCTGTCTACAGTCCGCTGTCCGCTGAGGTGGACCTCCCGGAGAGAGGACCAGGGTAAGGTGCATTCGCCTCAGCCATGTGTGCTGTGAGGTGCCAACCAGGTTCCGCGTGGAGGCTGTCACAGCAGTCAAGCGTCCATTACGGGACAGGGTCCTTGAGGCTCCTGTCCTCCTGCCCCCCCACCTCCCTCCCCTTCCCTCCCCCCCCCCCCTCCTGTTTATCCTTCCGTTTCTCTCTCTCAGTAAATTTACAGTGCTGCCTACCATCCTTCCAAGTCAGGAATCTGTGTGGTGTCCTTAACTCCTTCCTTTCCCTTCCTTCCTACGTCAAAGGAGTAAGTCCTTGGTTCTACGTCTAAATATTTCTTAGGTCTGTCTCCTCTGTCCCTCCGCCCCGCCCTGCACCAGGTTCCTGCCATCTCGCCCTGGGGTTGCTCAACGCCCCCGTTTGGTTTCCCTCCTCTCGTCTTGCCGCCTCCCAGTCTGATTGTTGGCTTCACGTTGCTCTTAGGATAAAGCCTAGACTCCTTAAAGTGTCTTTTAAGACCTTCTATCACACGACCACTTTCTCCATCTCTAGTTTTTTTCCTTTTAGTTCTTGGAACCAGCTTTGCTCTCTCAGTTTTTCTGGGCTGCAAACACTCTCCGCTGTCTGGCAGTCTTTTTGCTCATTTTTGTCACACTAGTGGTTGCTTGTCCTTGAGGTTTCAGCCTGAAGACCTCTTGCTCGGGGGGCGCTGTCTGAGCACTGGGGTGGCTCCCCGGCTGTGCGCTCCCACAGCGGCCTGCGCTTCTCCTCGGGCACCGCTCATCGTGCCCTGCTGTGAGGATGCGCTCACAGCCCCTCTGCTTCGGACGTGGTGTTTTGTAAGTGCCGTGAAGCTGGGGCCAGGGCTGTGTTTGAGCTGCCATGTCCCCAGTGCCTGGCATGTGGTTGGCTTGTACTCTTGGTATGTGCGTTAGTGAAAAGGCTGGCAACGTGGATGCACAGCGCCTTTTGTCTAAGCTTTTTTGCTGTAGTCTGTGTAAAAATTGTGCTAATTCATGGTGGGAATCTCAGTGAGCTTTAAACAAACACGATGACGTTGACATATGACATTGGGTGAGATTTAAAAACGTACACTTCGCATTTGGTCTCAGAAATGAGTCTCAAGGAATCATTTGCTTACAGAAGACCACAGCCACTCCCTAAGCATCCCAAACGTCCCCTTAGAAGCCTTTATGGATTCTTAGAGAAATAAGAGAACTCTTCGAAAGAGAGGATGTTTCTCTCCTGTTGTGGGTGTTTTACCTAATGTGGCATGGGACCAAATTCTGAAGCTTGCTTTAGGCATGGCAAATTTTGTTACTTAGACAATGTATAAAGTGCATTCAATATATATATATTTTTTTCCTGAGGAAGATTCTCCCTGAGCTAACATCTGTGCCAATCTTCCTCTATTTTGTATGTGGGATGCTGCCACACCATGGCTGCCAAGGTGTAGGTCTGCGCCCAGGAATTGAACCTGGGCTGCTGAAGTGGAGCGCACTGAATTTAACCACTGTGCTACGGGGCCAGGCCCCCATTAGACATTTTTAAAAACCTTAAACATGTTTTCCTCTAGCCTTAGGCAAGTGCAGAGAAAGAAAGACAGGTTCACAAACTTGTTGCTTAGATCACCTTTCTGGATTTTTCTCTGTTAGTGGACTCCCACAGTGGACTTATTTTATTATTTTTTTATTGAGATATAATTCATATACCATAAAATTCACTCTTTTAAAGTGTACAATTCATTGGTTTTTAGTATATTCACAAAGTTGTGCCACTATCATCAATACCATCTAATTCCAGAACATTTTCGTCACCCCCAAAGTTAACCCATTACCTGTTGGCAGTCGCCTTTCATCCTTGCCCCCAGACTTCACACCCCCTGCCCCCAGCAGCACCCACTGATCTGCTTTCTGTCTCTGTGGATTTGCTCCTTCTGGATGTTTCGTATAAATGTAGTTGTAGAGTAGGTGGCCTTTTGTGTCTGTCTTCTTTCACTTAGCATCATGTTTTCAAGGTTTATACATTTGGTAGCATAGAATCAGTACTTTGTTCCTTTTCTGGCTGAATTACATTTCATCGTATGGATATACGACATTTTGTTTATCCATTCATCAGTTGATGGGCATTTGGGTTATTTCCACTTTTTAGCTATTATGAATAATATTCCTCTGAACATTCATCCAAAAGTTTTTGTGTAAGCATGTTTTTAGTTCTCTTGAATGCATACCTGGGAGTGGAATTGCTGGGTCATATGGTCACTCTGTTTCACTTTTGTTTTTTTTTTTTGGTGAGGTAGATTGGCCCTGAGTTAACATCTGTTGCCAATCTTTCTCCTTTTGCTTGAGGAAGATAGTCACTGTGCTAGTCTTCCTCTTTTTGTATGTGTGATGCCGCCACAGTGTGGCTTGGATGAGCGGTGTGTAGGTCTGTGCCAGGGATCCAAACCTGCAAACCCTGGGCTGCTGAAGTGGAACATGTGAACTTAACCGCTATGCCACTGGGCAGACCCCTCTGTTTAACTTTCTGAGGAACTACCAGGCTTTCCCAAAGCGGCTGCACCATTTTACATTCCCACCAGCAGTGTCTGAGGCTTCCGATTTCTCCACGTCCTCTCCAAAACTGTGATTATCTGTCTTTTTTTATTCTTCCGTCTTAGTGGCTGTGAAGTTTTATCTCATTGTGGTTTTGATCGGCTTTTCCCTGATGACTAATAATATTGAATATCTTTTCATGTGCTTTTTAGCCATTTATATAATCTCTTTAGAGAAATGTCTGTTCAAATCATTTGCCCATTTTTAAACGGGGTTGTGTTTTTATTGTTGAGTTGTAAGAATTCTTTATGTATTTTAGATACTAGACTCTTATCAGATATATGATTTGCAGATATTTTCTGCTATTCTGCCGGTTGTCTTTTCAGTTTCTTGGTAGTGTCGTGATGCACAAAAGTTTCTAATTTTGATGAAGTCCACTTTGTCTGTTTTTCCTTTGGTTGCTTGTGCTTTTGGTGTTGTATTTAAGAAATTGTTGCCTAAACCAAGTCCGCAAAGATTTAGGCCTGTGTTTTCTTCTAAGAGTTTTATAGTTTTAACTTTTGCATTTTGATCCATTTTGAGTTAATTTTTGTGCATGGTGTGAGGTAGGGGTCCAGCTTCATTCTTGTACTTGTGGATATCCAGATGGCTCAGCAATACTTGTAAGAAAGATTCTTCTTTCCCCACTGGATGGTCTCGGCACCCTTGTTGACAATCAGCTGGCCAAAGATACAGGTTTATTTCTGGACTCTCAGTTCCATTCCATTGGTCTGTGTGTCTGTCCTTTGCCACTACCACACTGTCTTGATTATTGTAGTTTTGTAGTAAGTTTTGAAATAGATGACTGTGCATCCTCAAACTTTGTTCTTCTTTTTCAAGGTTTCTTTTGGCTGTCAACGGTGACTTTGTTTTAAATAATGAGACTTGAATAAGTACAAATAAAAAACAGCTAAACTCCTCATGCTTATACGACTATAAAACTAAAATGAGTTCACAAATTAAATACAAACAAATCTGCAAAACTGATAACATTTAGGTTAACATAATGTGATAGCCGAGGCTTTCTTTTTGACACTGTGTTGTGTCTCTCAAGGTGAATGCGGAGTGAATTGTGGGCGTCTTGGTTTGGCGTGTCTGTGCCGTGGCACACTGGTGATTATGTACTCTTCCTACTGCGTTTTCTGTTTGAACCACCAGGAGGCTTCCCCTTATACAGGGTATTGTGGCATTGTTTATCTTCATCTAGTACAGACACATGATTCATATTTTTCCCCAATATTTTATTGTGAAAATCTTCAAGCAGGTGGCCAGGTTTACAAAATTTGACAGTGAACACGTCTACCCACCACTTAGATTCTGTCGTTAGCATTTTACAGTGCTTGCCTTACATGGTTTACATTTCAGGTCTTTCTCTCTTCTCATTAGCCCGCTAAATACAGACGTGGATACTGGAAAATATTTAGCAGTATTCGTCCTTAGAAATGAGCAAAAATATACCTGTGCTAATTTTTTTTGGTCATCATCAAGGTGAAAATACAAAAATAATTCTTACAGAGAATTTGCAGCTCGGAGAAACTGATTTAGTTGAATGCCATGTTTCGAGGCTGGATTTCCATACATTGGGGGGGGATCTGTGTGGGCCCCCCGGGTGCCCTTTGGGGCCGTATGGGTTTCTGTCCTGTAGCCAGCATCTTAATGGGCACATCAGTGTACCATTAGACAGGAGTAACTGTAATAAGTACAGATGAGTCCATTGAACTTGAAGAGTTTGCTGCTTCTGTGAGCGTTTACTTAAATTTAAATCAGTTGTATGATTTTAAAAAGTTTCTTAACCCTTTGCTTTTTCTTTCCTTTTTTTTCTGAAGTTGTTTGTTCTGGAAATTACTTAATTAAATTTAGTTCAGTTTGCTTCAGTTCAAATCAAACGTTTATTGAAGACCTGTCGGCCCAATTGGGGCCAGGCTGGTGGTTCCCAACAGGGGTGTGGGGTTGATTTTTGCCCCTCCCTGGGTACATTTGGCAATATGCAGAGCCTTTTTTTTTTGGTGAGGAAGATTCACTCTGAACTAATATCTATTGCCAGTCCTCCTCTTTTTGCTTGAGGAACGTTGTTGCTGAGCTAACATCTGTGCCAGTCTTCCTCTATTTTGTATGTGGGTCGCCGCCACAGCGTGGCTTGACCAGTGGTGTAGGTCTGTCCCTGGTATCTGAACCCGTGAACCCGGGGCCGCTGAAGCAGAGTGCACCGGACTTAACCACTACGCCACGGGCCCAGCCCCATAGAGAGCCATTTTTGACTGTCATGACTGAGGGGGTGTGTGTCAGGCGTGTCCAAGATGACCTCCCATTTCTATGATTTCCCAGGAGGTGCTCACGGCTGTGATTTATTAGAGCAAAAGGATGCCAAACACTGTCCGCAGAGGGAAAGGGCCCATGGGGTGAAGCCCAGGGAAAGCAGGTACAAGCTTCCAAGTGTGCTCTCTGGTGGGTGAC